AAAAAAAAAAAAAAAAAAAAAAAACATTTTGCTATTCCCAACACAAATAACGTCTAGTCAACTTTAGCAAAGTGTAAGTTTAGCTATTACAAATTAAGCTTGAGAAGTATGCAATCTTGGCCTAAGATAAGTATTATAAATACAGTGTGAATAGTTTAGAAATATATAAACATATCGGCCCCCAAAAATGATATTAATTACTACTAAACAAATATTTGTTTATATAATAATTATAAAATTTATATAAATCTTACCCTTATAAGCAAACATACTCTTCACTTCCTTCCCCTCATCCTTCTTTTGCCTCTCCTTTTCACTGTCTTTAAAAATACCCTATGTATAATGCATAACGTTTTACTAAAAGCTTTAGAAATATATGGATATGGAATAATTTTAAATTATGGATTAATTAAAATTAAAATCTAAATAAGTTTCTTTAGTAGTTAGAATTTGCTGAGCAAAATCCAGATCATGAAACTCAACTTATTTTCTATTATTCTACTCCCACTGGGTAATGTCAGCCTTTCCAGTTTTCCAATGTTTCCTGTTTTCCTTGCATTTGTCAGTGCCCTCTGGAATCCTCCATGAGTGCCTCACAAATCTTTCCCCCTTCTCTATTTTCTTTAAAGAAATATACAAGTCTCTTTTCCTCAAATTGTTGAAAAGCTTTATCCTGATATGCTAAACTTGTTTGCACTTATATTAAACTGATAATTATCTTTACAAATATCTGCAACCAAGGTAATAAAAATAATATTGAAGAATTTAAGTTTAAGAGTAAGGTGGAATTAGGTTTGAATCCTTGTTATGTATAACTCTGGATGCTTTTTATAACATCCCAAAAGCTTAGATCCTCTTATCTACAAACTGAGAAGAATTCTTTGCTTTGAACTAATGAGAAGAATCAATAAGATAATACTTATAAAAGTACTAGATATTGTTCTTGTTTTGTCACTAACAGAAGTGAACTAGTGATAAAACCTGGTCCAGAGACATAGTCTGGAAATAAATTAATTTTAAACAGGTACCCCTCTGGAAATCTCTCAAATCTCCAACAAGCAAAACTTGAATGTTTTAGAGAACACAGAATTGAGATGTGAAAATTTGTACAAGCAGAGGAATAAATCTAAGAGAGCAATTCATTTCACAAATATTTACTGAGCACCTATGTAACAGGTGTTAATCCAGAACTTACAACAGTATACAATATGAACAAAGTCTCTGTCCCCGTGAAATTTAGCTTCTAGTCATGTAAAATAGGATAATTAAATAAACTAGTATGCCAGATGCAATATTTGGAGAAAAATAAGGATAAAAAAGAAATATAGGAGAGTGTAGACTTTTATAGAGAGTGGTAAAGGAAGCATAGACTTATTAACAGGGACAATAAAATGAGTAATAAGCTAGGGAATCAAATCAACAGTCACTACAAGGACTCTGGATTACATCAAGAAAGATGGGAATTTAATGTAAAATATGTTCAAAGTTATTTCAATTAATTAAATGTGCTCAAGAAAAATTTATTTTTAACTAAATGTGTTTGTCACAGCTTTCCATCACTATGATAAAAAACCTGAAACACATTTTCCTCCTAAATTCCTGCTTTTTAAAAATTAACTGCTTTTTAAATGATTTCATTTTCTCTCATTTATTGGCTTATTTTAATGTTTATACTATATATCTTTAAATTGTAACAGTCTGTATTCAAATATTATACCATTTACCATATGGTAGGAGAGTCATATAAAAAAAAATTTATGTCTACTTTCCTGATCTTTCTGCTGTTACTATCTATTGTGAGTGTGTGTACAAAATAAATTGATTATCACATTTTAATCACTTCTCCTTAAAAACCTGTGGCTGAAATTGTTCTGTTGTGAAACACACTGTTGCTAGGCCAGCAAGTTGGAAAGTAATCATTATGTACTATAAACATGTACTAATAAAAAATAAACAATGAAAAATAAAGAATTCTAGGTTGATAGATCATTTTCTTTCAGTAAAGTTATCACTCTTTCCACAATTTGAGAATGTCTCTTGAAGTAGCTCTCATCGCATTTCTTGTACTAAAGTTTCATTACCTTTTGGGGATGTGAGTTTACAGGTTCTACCAAATGTGAAAACTTTTCAGCTGTTATTTGATAAAATATTTTTTCTTCTCCATTTTCCCTTTCTTCAGGAACTATAACATTGCCTGAAACTGCCCCATAACTTAGTCCCACAACTGTCCCACTCTGAAAATAACTCTCTTTTCTCTTTCATTGTGGATTGTTTTTTATTGTTGCATCTTCAAATTCACTAATATTTCTTCTGCAAGTATAATCTTCCATTGATACTACGTAGTAAATTTTGAACCTCACTGTAATTTTCATTTCTAGAAATTTGACTTTTTATTTTATTTTTCATATCTCTAGCTTCTTTAAACTACTGAATTTATAATAATTCTCTTTAATGTCCCGCCTGATAATTCTAACATCTTTGTCAGATGTGACTTGGTATTAACCGACTGATTTAGCTCTTCATTACGAATCAAATTTTCCTGTTTCTTACTATACAATGGTCTTGTACTTGATGTCAGGCATGTTGAATTTTACCTTGATGGATACTAGAAATTTTGTATTTCCATAAAAACTTCTTAAGCTTTGTTCTATTAGACTTGTTTTTAAGATATTTTAGGAGTCACTGAAGTAGAGCTTAATCTAGGGCTAATTATTGCCCATTATTGAGATAAAACCTTACGTGTACTTTACCCAATGCAACAAGATTCTTGAGATTTTCTAGCATAGTTTGCTAATAGGATCAGACACTATTCCTAGCCGTTTGAGTCCTAATCACTCAGAAGACCTCTAATCCTTTAGGCTGAACTTTTCTTGGCCTGGGGTAGTTTCCGTACATACATGTCCTAACCTTTAATGAGCTGAGCGTGTTCTTCTCTAAACTTCTGTTTTGTGAACTCTGTCCAACATGGCCTGCCAACGCTTTTCAGTTTTATTTCCTTAACCAAATCCTGAGGGACCCCTCTTTGCCCCATGCCTGGAAATTCTTTCAAGGTATAAGCCCTGGTAATAATAGGATTCTTTTGATTTGGTTCTCAAATCTCAGGGATCCTTGTCCTTCAATATCTACTATGTAGCTTCTTAAAAATCATTGTATTTTTGTTCACTTTTTCAAATTGTTCAGTTGCTTCAAATGGGACAATAAATTTAATCACTGTTAATATATCTTGGACATGAATAGAATGTGGTTATTTAAATTGAATAATATTAAACTTCAGTTTCATTCTATCCATATTATCACATAATATACAGCCACATGTGGTAGTGTTTACCATCAAAAATAGAATAGACCATCTTTATTATTCCAAAAACTTCTACTGGACACCTATGCTAATGAACAATATTTTCACTGTGTATTTTGGCAATGTTATATAGCATTTTATATATTTTAATTTTTACTTTAAAGTAAATGCCTGAATACATACTTTATATTTATATCTTTATATGTTTTATAAATCAACACAAAAAAATTACTTAACTTGCTCATTTGTAGTAATAATACAATATTGCTTATTACATATGCTATAAGGATTGAATGCTATGATATAACATATAAAAAGCCTAACAGAGTGACTAATACATCACAGGTATTCAAGAAATGGTAACTACTAGTAAGAAATAATTCCTTTATAATTCCC